CTGTGGGGTCGAGCTCACAGAGGCCGCTGGAGGCTGCCAAGTGCCATACAATTGCCTGGTTATTGTGGTTCTCCTCTTACCTGCACAGTCGCAGGGACAGGCAGCTCCTGTGGGGTTGAGTGCTTGAGAGCTTACTGTATAATAAGCAGGCCCACACCTCGCGTGGAAAGGACCCCGCATGCTTGTCGGTGGGATGGCTCAGAGATGCTCCCACCCACCAAGAGAAAATTAGAACAAGCCACATGGTGGATCTTAGCTGAGTGAAACTCCTTTAAAATTAGACAAGTGGCAGCTTCATATGTGTGACTGATCCTACTCCCTAGTCATATGTTCATTTCATTGGTCAGCACCATGGTTTCTAGCCAACCATTCAAGTTAATATCCCGTAACAGATAAACAGACTAGAAAAAAAACAAAAAACTCCCAATAACTTTGTCTGATAACTACCACTAGAGACAGACACTTTCTAAAGTCTAAACAATGTTTTACAATAAAATATACCCGTGATTAACACCCTCTCACTCCACAGACACGCAGTGAGTGGACTCTTGCCTGTTGGTGTGGTTCCGACAGAGGCCTGGCCTGCAGGAACTGAGACCCAACCTGCCCCAGGGGCGCTGGATGAACAGCGGGTGAGTTTAGAGGGTGAGAACGCCATATCCACACGCTTAAAACACAGGAAGATGCCTTATAGAACTAGCCTTCTAATGACAAAGGCAACCTGTGGTCATTGTGTGATCAGGTAGATACTGTGGGGAACCAAGAGTTTATAACCTACATTCATGTTGTGAGTATATTTCTTGTTACTCAATTTGAGAAGAAGACTTTTAGTGGCTGTACACAGTTTTGTCACAAGGACAAAGTATACTATTTAAAATGTGCTCCTGAATCTGGGTTATGATCTTTATAATGGGCAACTTCCTGCCTTTGTGATATCAGAGGTGAAAAGTCATGTGCACTCTGGGTTGGCCTGTGTGCCTTGCTCTTGGGGCAGAGCTGTCATTGCGAACGTGTTTACTTAGCATCTACTTGACTCTGGAATGAGTAAAGGACAAGCCCTACTTAACCAAACACAACTATAAACCATTGAAAGGGCATCCAGACATAGAATGTTGCAGAAAGACAGAAGAGAAATGAGCACTACTTACATTGGTGCCCGAGTTCAGATTTAGTCATGAAGAATATAGAGAAGAATTGTTATGATTTTTAAGTAAGGTAAGTGCAAAAGCTACATAAATGGCTACTAGTGTCAATAATGTTAAATGAAACCAGTTTATTTTTTATTTTGTCATCACAATATTTTTAACTATCTCATTATATATGAATTATTTAAGCAATTTTAGTTAAGAAAAATACATAGCTTTTTTTCTGAAAGATAAAACAACTCCAGTAAGCTTGTAAACATACCCGTGTGCAGGGAAACTCTATTTCCTGTAAGGGCATATATGATAATTCATAAAATGAAAAATGAAGTAGTTGTTGACATTGAGCTTGTTCTTTAACAAAATTCAAGTCCAGGGAAAGGGTCTCTGGCAGGCGGTGCCCTTCCTCCCAATCCTTGTGTTATGGTCTGAATTGTGTCCCCTTCAATTTCATACGTTGAAGTCGTCTCTTCAAATACAGTCGCATTCTAAGTGCTCCGGAGTTACTGCACAAGGGGAACCCCCCAGAAAAGGGAGCAGGGAAAAGGTCACGGGGGGGGTGTGGGTGCAGAGGGGAGCAGTGAGAGACGTTTGAACAAGAGTGGGCAGGAGCCCTAGCCGGTTTGGCTCAGCAGATAGAGCATCGGCCTATGGACTGAAGGGTCCCAGGTTTGATTCTGGTCAAAGGCACATGCCTGGGTTGTGGGCTCAGTCCTTAGTAGGCAGTGCACAAGAGGCAGCCAATTAATGATTCTCTCTCATCATTGATGTTTCTATCTCTCTCCCTTTCTCTCTGAAATCAATAATATATATATAATTTATTTATAACTTTTTTTTAAGAGGGAGCAGGAAGGGTGCTGCCATGTGCATCTGTAGGTCAGGAGGAGAGCCAGGCCAGCAAAGGCCCCGGGTTTGGCAAGAAGAAGGTTTTTAGGATTACCAAGAGTAATGGTGGGAAGGTAGGTCATGGTGTGGTAGGCTTACAAACTTACCCAAGGGTTCTCATTCCTTTCCCGTATGAGGAAAGGGGGTAAATGATAATTCACAAAATGAAAAAGGAAGTTGTCGACACTGAGCATATCTCACACTAAATTCAAGCCGATACTTAGTTGAGTTTGAGTACTGGTGTCTCAGAGTCTCCTGGGTCCTAGAAAAGGACCTCATTGTGGGGACAGCACCTGTCCTCCCGCCTCTTGTGACATGTGTACCTGTGTTTTCTCTTTCGTAAGAAACTGGGATGGGATTGCTGGCTCATATGATAAATATGTATTCAGCAAACTGCTTTCTAACGTGGTGTGGTTCTGCCTTCCCACTAGCTATGTGGGAGACTTCCAGTCTCCCTTCAGCTTCGTGAACACCTGGTACTGCTGGTCTTCTGATTTTATCCTCACTGTCTGTAGTGGTACCTTCTGCTGTTCATCGCATCCCCCCAGCGCACAGTGAGGCCGATCGCCTTTTCACTGCTTCTTTGCCACCCAGAGTTCCACCTTGGCAAACAGCTTGTTCAAATCTTTTGCCAATTTTAAAACCTGGGTCATTTTTCTCATACTTGAGTTTTGAAAGCTCTTTATATTTTTCTGGATACAAGTATATGATTTGCAAATATTTTATTTGTGGCTTCTATTTTTATTTTTAAAATATATTTTTATTTATTTCAGAGAGAAAGGGAGTGGTAGAGAGAGAGAGAAACATCAATGATGAGAGAGAATCATCGATCGGCTGCCTCCTGCACGCCCCCCACTGGGGATCAAGCCTGCAACCCAGGCATGTGCCCTTGGATGGAATAGAACCCAGGACCCTTCAGTCCCCAGGCCAATGCTCTATCCACTGAGCCAAACCAGCTAGGGCTATTTTTATTTTCTCAATGGTGCCCGTTGAGGAGCAAGTGTTTGTAAGGTTGATGAGGAGTAGCCCAAGAAATGGGCCTCGGAGAGAAACCAAGATGGCGGCATAGGTAAACACCGGAGACTGCTGCCGCAAACAACCACTTCAAAAATACAACTAAAAGACGGAACGGACATCACCCAGAACCACAGGAAGGCTGGCTGAGGAGAGACTCTTCAACTAGAAGGAAAGACAACAGCACACCGAGGCTCAGAGGAGGCGCAGTGTGGAAAATATAAAGGTGCGGAGGTGCGCGCGCAAAGCGGGCTGGTGGCTGAGGGCGCGGTTGTCGTTTTCAATCAGGAGGGAGTCTCAGACTCTGAGCTCCAGATCCGGGCGAGTCTCTAGGGACTCAGACTCAAACGGGAGAAGCGGGATTGTCTGGCATCAGTTGGAACGTGAGGGCAGCTTTCTCTCCGAGGTTTGCAGCGGTTGCCGGGGGTTCTGAGAAGCAGAGCCTCTGGGAACGGGACTGAGAGCAGCCATAACTGCTCCCTCCGCCCGCCCCGTTGATCCTGCCCCGCCCAAGCCCTGCACAGAGCCATTTGCCGGATCACCTCAGGCAAAGGCTAGATTAGCACCTCTCCAGAGGACAGAAGTTTTAGGTGGCAGACAGAGCTGATTCTCACAGCTAGTCGGCCTGGTGGTCAAATCCCTCTAGTATTAACTACAACAATCAAGGCTTAACTAGAACAAGACTGCGCACAAAGACCACTAGGGGGTGCACCAAGAAAGCATAAAAATGCGGAGACAAAAAAACATGACAGAAATGGAGGATATAGAGCTAAAAAACGCAATTTTGAGGGCTTGCAAAAATGTGCTAGAAGCTGCCAATAAACTTGAGGAGAGACTCACGAAAACTAATGAGACCCTCGATGCTATGATAAAGAACCAACTAGAAATTAAGCATACACGGACTGAAATAAAGAATATTATACAGACACCCAATAGCAGACCAGAGGAGCGCAAGAATCAAGTCAAAGATTTGAAATGCGAAGAAGCAAAAAACACCCAACCGGAAAAGCAAAATGAAAAAAGAATCTGAAAATACGAAGATAGTGTAAGGAGCCTCTGGGACAGCTTCAAGCGTACAAACATCAGAATTATAGGGGTGCCAGAAGATGAGAGACAGCAAGATATTGAAAACCTATTTGAAGAAATAATGGCAGAAAACTTCCCCCACCTGGTGAAAGAAATGAACTTACAGGTCCAAGAAGCACAGAGAACCCCAAACAAAAGGAATCCACACCAAGACACATCATAATTAAAATGCCAAGAGCAAAAGACAAAGAGAGAATCTTAAAAGCAGCAAGAGAAAGAGACTCAATTACCTACAAGGGAATAGCCATACGACTGTCAGCTGATTTCTCAACAGAAACTTGGCAGGCCAGAAGGGAATGGCAAGAAATATTCAAAGTGATGAATACCAAGAACCTACAACCAAGATTACTTTATCCAGCAAAGCTATCATTCAGAATTGAAGGTCAGATAAAGAGCTTCACAGATAAGGAAAAGCTAAAGGAGTTCATCACCACTAAACCAGTATTATACGAAATGCTGAAAGGTATCCTTTAAGAAGAGGAAGAAGAAAAAAGTAAAGATACAAATTGTGAACAACAAACATGCATCTATCAACAAGTGAATCTAAGAATCAAGTGAATAAATAATCTGATGTACAGAATGAACTGGTGATTATAAGGAATCAGGGACATAGAAAGGGAATGGACTGACTATTCTTGGGGGGGGGGGAAGGGAAATGGGAGATGCGGGAAGAGACTGGACAAAAATCGTGCCCCTATGGATGAGGACAGCGGGTGGGGAGTGAGGGCGGAGGGTGGGGCAGGAACTGGGAGGAGGGGAGTTATGGGGGGGGGAAAAAGAGGAACAAATGTAATCTGAACAATAAAGATTTAATAAAAAAAGAAAAAAAAAAAAAAGAAATGGGCCTCACAGGGAGTCAGCCTTGCTGGCGGGATCCCAGGCAGAGCGAGTGCAGAAATGATGTAACACAAACATGCACACCACGCACACACACACACACACACGCACACACACACACCGCATCGCACACACAGAGCCATGCCCACACAGAAGCAAAGGACCGTGACTAAGTGGTCCTAGCCACCAGGCGACCTGGAGCCTTGTCCCAGCTCTGGATAAACAGGAAGGATGTGGCACAGGGACATCTGTACCTGTCTGTGGCCATCCTTGTATTTAAAAGGTAAGATTTTTATACATTGATGAGGCTTTTGACCTGTTGTGTGTGGCCCCGTGTCATGTAATCAAATGTACCCGTCCTGCTGGACACTGGAAAGGAGAAGGAAGGCCAGGGCAGTTCCCAGCCTCCCACTGTGACTCACGACCCAGGGCTCCTCCCCAAGGTGTCGGGCTGGGTCCTAACCCACACCCTGGGGAGTGGGACAGCCACTCCAGCCCACCTGGCCCTTGGGCAGCAGGAGCTCCTCACACTCGCCTGAGGCCTGAGGCCTGAGGCCGCTGTCCCTGGGGGCTGCTGCCTTACCTGCCTCACAGCCATAGTGTGAATGTGGACCCATGGGAGTGCTGTGTGCAGCCTGTGTTGGGAGCACCCAGGGCACTGAAAGAGCATCTGAGATGAAAAGCAACATCAATGAGAATGGGTTCTAGCCTGTTTCAGCCATGTGCTTCTGCAGAGGGGCCAAGCTTTCGTTTCTCTTCCCCTAGAAACTAAGATGAGAACAGATGGTTTATAATTATTTCTGGAAAGTGAAAAGGGCCACCCACTGAAGCCTATTTGCAGCTCGAGGAGCAGGAGGAGGGGCCCCCAGTGACACCCCCAGCTGCTCGCTCAGGTGGGGGGAGCTCTGTGGAGCAGAACCCCATCCCCTCCCTGGGCAGTCTTGATCGAGTGCTTTTGTTTTTGTTGCCTTTGGGCCTGGCTATCTTTCCTGATTCACTCCACCTGGCTCTTACTGCATTCTTCCACATTCCCTCCAAACCTGGGTCACAGTTGTAGGATATAAACTTACACTTGTGTATATTCTAGTGGAAATATTCATCCTTTTGCATGGGTTTGCTCGAATGCCATCAAAATCAGCTTTAAAACAAGTCCTGTATGTCTCCCAGGGCTCACACTCATTCTGAGTTTCATGTAAAACATTTAAGTCTGACATAATGATAAAGCGGAGGAGACACAGCCCAGAACTTTAAACCTCACAGGCGAGGAACTTGGAGGCCAGAGTGCAGCGTGCATTAAATGGACGTCCACCGCGTTTCCTCTAACATTAGCTGGGGCAGTTTGAGGAATCCTGCTCTCCCTTCGTATCATCCAGGATGTGTTTTGTGTTATTTTCCGCAGGTGTGGCTTTTCTTCACACCTCTGCAGTGGGCACTCTCCCTGTCCGCCCATCTTCCCCGGAGATCTCACCCTCACCAGTGTCACTCCCACTCATGTTCTGAGGACTCTTCAGGATGCTCCTGTCTCCAGCTTCAACACGGAGCATCCGATGGCCAACAGCCTCCCCTGTGTCCCCCGCAGCACCCTCCGAGGGCGTTGGTTAACTTGTGGACTTTATCCTCTGGAGTGCGGGCTGCTTTTAGTGACTCACAGAAAAGGCAATGGGACGCCACCTCCACGGCTGGTTAGAGGGGCTGGCTTCCTTCCCCCGACTGCCCTCTCTCACGCCCTCTCATTTGCTCAGCTGCCCTGTTATGAGAGGCTCCGTCATGTTGGAACATCGATGTGATGAGGACTAGAAGGAGGCCCCTGGCTGACAACTCGTGAGGACCGCCCCTGCCCACAACCTGGTGATGAGCTTGGAGAGGTCCTCCCAGTCGGGTGAGACCACAGGCCCCGCCAGCACCTTGATGAAGCTTCTCGAAGATCCAGGGCCAGAGCACCCAGCTGAGCTGAACTGGACCCCTGACCCGGACACTGGGAGGTAATAAGCGTATTGGTTTAAGTGGCTGCATTTTAGGGTAATTCTACTATAATATCCCAACGTTTTCCTGGAAATCTGCTCTTTGATGTCCAAATGCCCTAGAATAAACGTGTTTAGTCCTGAACTCAGTATGCATCTCCTCCTGTGAGTCCCCACTTGCGGGTTCAATGCCCAGTTAGGGCACATCAAGAATCAACCAATGAATGCATAAGTGAGTGGGACAACAAATCTCTCCTCTCAAAACCAATAAATTAAAAAAAAAAGTATCAGCTGCAGCAGAAGCAGACATGGCTCAGAGTGGGCAACTGTGGCCCTGACAACACTGTGACCAATGCCTGTCCCTAAGGCAGGGGACTCGGACGGCCCAGGTGGCTGAGGACAAATGCCTAAGTGTCCCCATGGCGTGGGCAACCTGTATGCTGCCCCGGTTGCATTGCTAATCTCAGCCCTCTCTCTCCCACTCTGTCCTTTGAACATTTCTTTCTGGAACTCTAGGTGACATCACTGATTTGTGATCACCACTGACCACACCTATAGCTTTATGCTGCCTCACAACATACAAACATGACCTCATTTAATCCCCACAAGATGTTGCCAGGAGGGGGGCCACCCCCTGTTCACAAATAGGGAAACTGAGTCTCAGAGATGGGGTGTTACCTGCCCAACACACCTGAGTCCACCTAGAACGTCGGTGCAGCCCACAAGCCACCTGCTTTTCCCTGCTCCCTCTTATTCAGGCCAGAGCTCCCTTCAAGCTACAATTCCCTCGGTCCCCTAACCCTGAAGCCCTGGAATCATGAAAAATGAGCCTTCTGGGCTCAGCCTAGAGTCAGGCAACGACCTTGAACAGAATCAGCTGGTGGGGCTCCTCAGTGCCATGCTACCATCAAGGGCCCCGGGAGGGGCACATAACCAGGAGTGCACCATGAAGGGTGCCCAGACCACATGCGGTGCCCACAGGCAGGCCCGGAGGAGCTTGACCCCTTTGTGGCCCATACACACATCAGGGCCACAAATGATTAGGCTGTCTCGTGTCTGTCCTCAAAGGACATGGAGAATGATCTGTCCCCCCAAAAAGTAAATTCTGGATAGCACTTCTTGGAATATGCTTTCACAAAAACATCTTCCTTTCGTCCTTGTGCCATTATAATATTAAAACACACACACACACACACACACACACAATTCCTTTGCATCTTCAATGTTAAACAATGTCTTGTTCACTGGAAATGTAGTTGATCCCATTTTTTTTTTTAATAGAACTTCTTGAAGTTTCTTTACACAAATCTTTAGGCGGAGGGTTAAATGTGAGTGTTCTCAGAGGGTCGGGTGGATGTGGGACGGCGCCCAGGGTAAGACGTGGCCTTGAGGAGGCTCCACTGTCCCTCTGAGGTGTCCCTTCTGGGTAACCCTGTGCTGGCTGACTCTCCTATGTGAGTGCGGGTGCTCCAGGGCCTGTGCCCAAGACCCCACAGCTGTAGAGGACATAGGGCGTGGCCTCCCATACCTGGCTCTAGTCACCAGGAGCCCGGGAGGTGGGAAAGCAGGAGGTGGGCCTGCCCCACCTGCAGCTCCTCAGGGTCACCTTGGTCCCTGCAGAACTCCCTCTCACCTGGTGCAAGAGGCAGACCCTAGGATGGAGTGGGAGTGGGGGTGGGGGTGGGGGTGAGGGTTCAACCAAAAGGTCAAGCTTGTCATCGTCCTCTCCCCTCAAACATTGACAAAGAATCGTCTCCTCCTTTGATTCCTGTATTATTTTTGTACCACATCTCTCTCCAGCTTTTAACCTGGCACCATTCCTCATTCTCCTCTAGTCCTGACAGTGAAAGACACAGCCTCTCTCAGGGCCTCTGTTATATATAATTTGAGCCAAATCATATTTTAAATGCTGCTTTCCTCTCTGCCCTACAGTTGAAGGGAATGGGAGCAATTGGAGACAGATGTCGGCACCACTCAGGGGGCAATGGCCCTTGCTCTCAGTCTGACCCAGTCCCAGTCTTTGTGGGCACAATGCCCCCTCCCACTGTGTGCTCCTGCCGAGGTAAGCAGACCTCTCCTGGCTGTGTGCCAGCACCTGGTCTGTCCTGCCCACCCTGCCAGGGTTGTGGTTAAGGCTCCTTTGGAAGGGAGGGAGGTGGGCGGTGAGAGGAGGGCTCCCAGCTCCCTTCCAGGCATGCAGTTCTGCTTGGATTTGTCTGATTATGAGATCTTTGGATTTCCTTCTGCTTAAAGCATGAAACTTCTTTTCATGCAGGAACAAGTGCTGCATTTCCCATGCGGTCTCCCGTGCGTGGTGGTGGGAGCTCTGTGCAGGTTTGCTGTTGAAGGTGGGTAAGCAATGGAGCCCCTCTCTGTGCTGGGAGGCCATGCGACTGCCTGCAAAGGCTTCCCTTTCCAAGTCCTGCATGGGTTGGGGGAGGGAGCACTGGTGTTCTGGCGACACAGAGCTCTCTAAGGCCAGCAGAGCTCACAGCCCTGGTAAAGCCACAGCCCTGCACCCAGAGCTCACAGAGGAAAGGCCTCCGGTCATGGCTGGATGCTCCCTCCTGGCACAGACCCCAGCCCACATCCTCTGTGCTCAGGGCCTGGCAGGCGGAAGGCAGAGGGACCCAGGCCAAGCAGGCCAAGGACTCGTCAGCCTGGTTTGTGTCCTGTGGATAGCAGCTCCTCATCAAGCTAATGAGGGTCTCCAGCGATTTACTTTGTGAAGACGGGCTTGACACGGCATGTCCAGGGACAGCTCCATCCAAACCCGTTTCAGAACCAGACGAGGAGACCCGAGGGACACTGAGCACCCTGTGCTGGGGGATGAGACACCGCCCCCGACTGCCCATGGCCCCCAGCTCTAACCCATGAGGCCCGGCCCACAGACCCCCTCCTGGGTCCTCCTCCTTCCTTCGCCCTCCCTCCTCCCAGCCCCCTCATCAGTAATTCCCACTCCCAGTGCATCTGTTGAGCCATTTGCAGTGATGGTCAGACCCATCGATGCACTTGTTTCAGGTGCTACAATACTAGTATTTGGCTTTCGTGCTGCTGGAAGGAAAAATTTGGGAGGAGCCGCCTGTTAGCCACCTGTGCAGGTGAGGTCAGAGCCCCTCGTCTATAAGGGAGAACCAGGCAGCAGCAGCCTAAGTCAGACAGGACCTGTGCCACAGGGTACCAGGGTTTGAGGCCTGGAGGCTGTGCTAGGATCACACCCTTAGCCACTGGGCCTCCCACCCAGGCCACCCACACATGTCCCCAGGACCGCTAGGGACCCTGGGGTCCTGATCAGCTCTGCAATCCAGTGGGGGCAGAGGGCTCGCCTGAGAAACCCCAAGAAAGACATGCTCTTCTGCTCCTGGATCAGCATGAGGCCAGGGGTGGGGGTGGGGGGGGGATGGTCTGTGTGTCTGAGGGCCACAGCACCAGTCAGCTGCATGAAAACAGCCCCTGCTCTATGAGGAAACAGCACCGCAGTGGCCCTCATGGGTGGCTGGAGAATTAAATTTGGCTGCGTACCGAGTGGGTGTAGGGCCATCGGTGTTGCCTGGCCTCACACCCAGCACTCACACGGTAACCTCACAGAGAGCAATACAGATCCTGGATGACATGACGGTGTTAGGATTGGTTGAAAGGGACAGTGGTTGACCAGTAATCATGTCTAATGCTCACTTCAGCCAGATCAATGGAGACAGACACCAAGTGCAGGATGAGATGAAAAAAGAAAATTCCCGAAGAGAAAAAAGAAAACTCCCCAGTCTGCTATCAAGGAATAACTCTGCCCTAGGCCTGGTCAGCCAGAGGTGTCAGCCCTGGTGGCTGGTCTGGAGCTATGGGCCCAGCTAGTGGCAGGGACCGAGGGCAACCTCTCTTGCCCTCCATTCTACCTCAGGAAGGAAGAAACAGGGCCTGCTGGAGGGAGGCTTGCAAATTGGAGCCCTGGCCCCACAATGGGCAAACACGTGTTCCCCTAAGGGTGTGGCTCCCACACACTTCTAAGGGAAAGGCCTGCGTGCACTGGTGGGAATCAAGCCCCATGCAGAAGATGCGGGGTGGGGGTCTTTGGGCAGCAGAGACCTCTGAAAGCATGGGTGGCATTAGGAATAAAGTGTATCATCAAGAAACAAAGGAGGGAGGGGATAGGGAGGATTCAAACACCAGCCAATGAGCTTTGGGGTGAGTGGGCCGGC